TTGGACACAAAAGATCTCCAAGTCTGGGTTCCTCCTTATTTTTTATGAATCAGATTCTTGTAGGACATAGCCACTTTCGTTGGAAGTCTTGTCCTATAAAGGTTAGGATATAGTGTCTTCATTGCCTACAGAACCATGCAGGAGGACAGCTTTCTTCAAGGCTGACTTTGAATGGAGGATTTTGGTGCCTACATTCAAGGTGTGATGAGAAGAGCCAGAGGATCTTCCAAAACTGCCCCAATCTGGAAATGAGTCCTGCAGCTGTGTCCATTTATAAGTGCATGACTGATCCTATGTCATTTGCCATGCTAGCACTCCCTCCCTCCATAGACATTTCTGGATAGTCAACACAGACAAATTGATGTCCATTACCACTTAGGACATTTCGGGCAGCAGGTCTCTAATCCCTGTCATTTCACCACACAGAGATTGCTTTTCAATTTTCCCTCTTTTTTCTGAATCTTAGATGTTTTGATTCTTAATTCAGAGCATTCATCTTGACTGGATTCAGAGACTGAAATCTGATGATAAAGTTCTTGATTGTTCACAAGTTCTGGTGGCTGGAGAAAGCAGTTGTCAACTGGGGTTTTTAAAAATGTCTTGTTTGCCATTTTTAACTGGAAATGGGCTGAACTAGATCAACACATGTGTACACGTTGTCATACAGAGATGTACTGTGTGTGCAAAAGATTGCATATTGAAACAACAGACTCTGGGGGAAGGGCAACAGGCAGCAAAGGGCGAGGGGTGAGACAGGAGAGAGAGGGAAGAAAGACATTTCATGATCTCAGCCAAGAGCCAACGTTGGGTAACATAGCCTTAGCTCTGGTGAAAATGTGGTAGAGAAAAACGCAGTATGTTGGTTAAGTCTGTTAACTAGTAAACAGAAGGCCATCATTTAAGCTCAGTTATTTTTAATGCCATTCTCTCCGCTTCTTTGATTTTACTGATGACCTCAGGTTTCTGTCCTTCTTCCTTCAATATGAACTATTATAATTTCTCATTAAATAACAGGTAGTTTGAGATATATTAGGCCTGTGTTTTTCATAGCTCTTTACATATTTACAAGCCCTTCCCTCTGTTTCTTCTTCACACCCCTGTTAAATACAGCAAAGGTGCCAGGGCTTGCAGCTGGAGACTAGTGCCAGGCGGCATCCTTCAGAGTGGGGCCTGTACATCATCGTGGTCCTTGTATTAGTCAAGGGCATCCAGAGAAGCAGAACCATGTATGGGATTGTTCTTAGACACACTTTCATGAGAGTGCCTGCGCGAGCGCCCACACACACACACACAACCCACAAGGGGGTGAGGAGAGAGAGAGAGAGAGAGAGAGAGAGAGAGAGAGAGAGAGAGAGAGAGAGAGAGAGAGAGAGAGAGAGAGAGAGAGAGAGAGAATGAGAATGCATGTACACGATTGACTAAACTCACGAAACCCCTGGCAGACATGCAGGTAGTCAGCAAACTGGAGGTTGAAGCTTAAGTTGCGCTAGCACCTAGCTGCCATGCAGTCTGGAGGCCTGTGGTCAAGGAGAGGCAGTGCACCAGTCCAGCCCACATGCCGGCAGCCTAAGACCTGGCAGAGCAAGTGTTTTTGTTCCTTCTGTTGAATGTGTAGGCAGGTGACATCTGACATCCAGGCTCAGAAGTGGTCAGGCAAGGATGACTTTTCTTCTTCAGTTCTAACCAGTCCCCCTAGTTTTTTACTAATTGGATGAGACTCACCCACCTTGGAGAAGGATTTCTTCTTTATTCGCTAGACTGACACAAATGTTTATCTCATTTTTAGAAAAGCAATCATCAAAACACCAAATGTCTGGGAACTTCATGGCCCAGTCAAGTTGACACATAAAAATTGGCAATCATTGTCCCCAAGCAGGTACTTGTTTTGCAACAATTATGTGTCAACTTGAGACTAGGCAATTAAAAACTTGCAAAAACGTTAGACTTCAGGGACACTTCAAGCATAGGATCCGTAAATTCATCCTGTTGAGCATGGTGTACATTGACTTGATTAGGTGGAGTAAGGAGTTGTATGTGGGGCAGATCTATACCAGCCAAAGTTACTAGGGCCAAGACTGTAAGATAGCAGGGGGAATAGCTGGGTCTTTACAACTGATAGCTTAAGATAATGTAACGTGGCCACAGTTGTTTAGGTATACCATGGAATCTAATCCTGGGAGGACTGATGATAGAATCTAACCCATACTGAGAGAGAAGGCCATGGCTACAAAGTAATCAATGGTCTGGTGTGGCTCAATGAAGAAAGTTAGGAACCAGCACATCAGGAACAAATAAAATTGGGCAAATAAAAGAGAGCAGGCTGTTAGCATGGCAAAGAAATGGGGCTTCCTAGCACTCATATCTAGTTGTTCAGTGATGGAATTACACAGCCAGATTATTGCAGGGTTCCTCTATATGGGAAGGCAGAGCTCAGAGAGAGGTCTGCATTTCCCCATTTTCTCTTTCTTTCTTTCTTTCTTTCTTTCTTTCTTTCTTTCTTTCTTTCTTTCTTTCTTTCTTTCTTTCTTTCTTTCTTTCTTTCCTTCCTTCCTTCCTTCCTTCCTTCCTTCCTCTTTCTTTCTCTTCTCCTGTCGCTCCCTCTCTCTTTATTTTTTGTTTTTTTTCAAGGCAGGGTCTTATTATGTAGCTCTGGCCACTCTACAAATCACTATGTAACCAGACTGGCCTCAAACTTCAGGAGATCTGCCATATCTGTGCTGGAATTACAGGTGTGAGCCACCACACCCAGCTTCTTTCTTTGTGAAAAGAAAGTAGCTGGACAGGTCAGTGATGTGGCCAAGGTGGTGCGGCTTCCAAACCAACTAGAAATGACACACCTCACATTCCAGACTCTAGGCACAATATTATTTTCTCCATTTTTGGTGTCATTTATTCTCAGGAAGCATTGCATTTTTCTTTTTTATGTACTTATAGGTGACAAATTGATAGTGTTCTGGAAAGCATGAAAATATATGCAAATGTTTGAGAACTAAGTTTAGTTAAAACCAAATGGGACCCAGAACATGCTCAAAATGGACTCACCAGGAATGTCATTTTACATAAGCACATGATTAAAGGTTGTAATTTTTATAAACAGACGTGTGGGCTGTGAGGAAAGGAGCAAGGGAGTAGAGAAGATCCCTGGTGCTGTACCTGTCTTCTGTGTTTCTTGTGTGTGCAGCTTGACACAGTGAAGGTCAGGGGTGATGAGTGAAAATGGCCCGCGTCAAAATTATGGCAGAGGAAGCCAAACACAGTAGTTCTATGCTCAGAACATCATTAATTCTATACGCAACTCTATCTTATCCTTTTTGGGATGAGGGTTATAGGATCTCCTTATGTGCAAATCATATCCCTAATTCTTTCAGGAGATAAAGGGGGCTCTCAGGTCCTGAGACCTTCAACACAGCCTTTTAAGTAGGGTCACAGCCAGGTGTGGCATCAAGGAGAGCTTATTTCCTATTTATTTCTACTGTTAATTTTAATAGTGTCAGTCCCCTTGTCTGGACAGGCATAGTGACTACGTTGTGCTCCATGTGTGTGTAGAATGCAGTGTGCAAGAAACCCGTCACTCACTGCATGCCTTAAAAGTCTGCCTTTTCTTGCTAAGGAGATGTTCATCTTTGTCTACCCTACTCTAAGCTCCATGTTCACTAAGGCTTTTTTCTGCTTAGACACATGTGTATGTGAGGATGGCCTTGAACTCTTGGTCCTCCTAAGTGCTGGGGTTATGGGTATTCAAAGGCTAGGTGCATCAGAGGAGGCTCAGGCCTCACACTTGTCAGGTCAGCACTCTCTCTGCCGAGCTATAGCCCTAGTCCTGTGCTGTTTAATTCTCTTTGTGGAACCAGACATGGAGGCTGATTTCAAAAGCGGGGTGAGTTAGCTTATAATTAACCAGCCCAGTGACAGTGCACCCCTCATCCACTTGTGATTTCATGTCCCTTGCTGATTCTGCCTCAGTCGGCCTTGATTATTGCACTGATAGGATCAGGAGTGTAAGCAGCTAACCCTAAAGTGGTTTGGGGCTAAATAAATAGCATTATCTGTAAGCGACATCAAATACCCTTGGCAGAGGCAACTCAGCATGGGCAGCACAGGTGAAGCACATGGTGGTTCATCCCCAGTGTTGATCTCAAGCTCTGTGAGCCACATGCCTTGCAGAAACAGCTTGGAACCTGAGCCTGTTCCTGGCTCCAAGTAGAACAACTTGGGTTTGTGGAGAAACAGAAGTGCATTTTAGCATGCTAGGGAGATTTTCATTCTCCAGTCATAAGAGTTATGGATGGAACCGTCTGAGATAGCTGCCCTCTGGCTGGATCCTGGGCTATCAGCCGAGTGGAAACAAAAAGGAGTGGTGACTTTGGGTGAGTCTTGTTTCTCTGAAACTCCTAATAGTCAGCATGCGTTGGGTATTGACCCCATGTAAAGAGATAGGCTAATTGCCTTGGGGAAGTGGTGTTTTTTGGATGATAAAAACTACCTAATGATCAGCCTTGAAGTCATATAAGTAACACAATACAGGCAGAGGAGCACTTCCCTTGGGAGGTGATGCTTTCAAAACAGGGTTTTGGAAGACGGCTTAGGAATTTACTTTGGAAGAACATCACTTTATACCTCTCTTTTCCTGTTGAGCTCTTCTTCATTTTCAAGCTCTCTGTCCCATACTTTCCATTCATCCTTATCCATATGTGTTATTTGATTTCTTGTTAAGAACGTCCACTTTCCAACATGTCATATGGAGACGAAGGCATTGTGTTTAACTAGGAATAGTATTAGGTGTGTCTTTCTCTAAACAGTATCTTGATTTTCATTGCCATAATATGCCATCCTGTTCATACCTTTTTCCCACTTCAACATGGGTGTTCTGACTTGCCATTCACAATCCCTGTTTTCTTGATACACAGTGTAATTGTGGCAAGACCCTGGGGGGAGGTAATGCTGGGTTTCCTGGAGGTGAGTTTGCTGTGCTAACACTCCCTTGGTTTCTCCTCCCTTAGATGGGAAGCCTGTGTCTCTGTCTCCCCTGGAGTCCCAAGCTCACAGTCCCAGGTATACTGCCTCCAGCCAGCGGGAGCGGGAGAGCCTAGAGGTTCGTGTGCGAGAGGTGGAGGAGGAAAACCGTTCTCTGCGCAGGCAGCTCAGCCTGGCCCAGGGTCAGGTCCCTGTTCACCGCCGTGGGAACCACTCCAAGACCTACTCCATGGAAGAGGGAACAGGGGACAGTGAGAACCTGCGGGCTGGCATCGTGGCAGGCAACAGCTCTGAATGTGGGCAGCAGCCAGCTGTGGAGAAATGTGAGGTAAGGCATGGACTTTGGAAGAAGTGGTTACTCAGAACCTCTGCAGATGCCTCCTGAAAGCACAGCCAGGCCGTAGAAAGAGCTGGCTTTATTAATCCATTGCAAAACCAGATTGGTCCTAAACTTTGTTGAATGGTCACAAAGACTTTCAACCTCATTGTGTCTCAGTTTCTCCATCTGATAAACAGGGATAAGAAGGCCTACTCCACAGAAGCATAACTGATGTAACCTGCTTCTTTGTCTTTCCTTAAGAAATGCTCAGGTTTCCACACATTGCCTTCATCCTGGAACTTGGTTCTTTACACTGTAGTTTGAATGACCCACCCAGAGATAGAGCTCCATTAGGCAGTTAATTTCGCTCCCATTCCTTTTCTTCTCTCTGCAATTCAGAACTAGAATACTGTTGCCTATCAGAAGCCTCCCGTTGAGGTTTCATATATCAGTCCCATTTTCTTCCTGGAATGTACTCCCTTTCTTAGTGGATCTTCGAAATCTTGCAGTTCTTACCCATCATCCTGTAATCTACCTGCCAGATGCATCCTCCCTTTTTTTATGTGTATATATGCACTGAGAATATTCATGAACACATGTGTGCATGCACACACACACACTCATGTTCATTTTCTGCTTTTTCTGAGTTTTACTGTGCAGATAAGTTAGACGAGTGCTTGCTAGCAATAAGGGTGAATAAGAACTCAGCCTTGGTAGTTTTTGTTTTGAGTACTCGAGCACTCTTGGAACTCGTGGATGCCTCAGCAGTGAACATTCAAGGATGATTCTTGCATTATGGAGGTCATTAATGCTATGACTAATGCCCAAGGACACTTAGTGTGCTTCCAGTTACAGTAATTTGTATTCTATTTATATAAATACAGATACTGCTGACTGAGTTTTCTTATGCTGCCTCCTAGAACAAAGAATATTGGGCTTTATCCATCCCGAAATCACAGCTCATTTTAAGCCATAACATCTGCCCCATGAATGGATTTATTACTGATGCTGATAGTACCATCTGTATGCCACATTGAGTGGGGACTTATTAAATGATGGAGATGGACTTTTATAAAAATTTAGTATCAAGACAGGAGATCTCAGACAAGCAATTTTAAGGAGAGTTTCCTAGGATTTCCAGTGTAATGCAAGCCTGATTTGAGCATACCCTAGGGGGAGGGTGTCTAGAAGTTGGCTCTGTGATTAAATAAAAAATTACCCCAACAGAAGCAACTGTAAGAAAGATTATTTCGTTGGCTCCCAATCTCAGGTCATTGTGTATAACTGTGAAGAAATCAAGGTGGCAGGAACTTGATTCAGTTAGACACATTCATAGTCAAGAGCAGAGAGAATGTATGATTCATGTGTTCAACTGACTCTCTCCTTTTCACCTAGTTCATGAAATGGTACCCACCCAAATTCAAGATGGGTCTTTCCATATTCATTAAGAAAACCCCTCAGGAATTCAAACATGCCAACCAAATCCAGGCAGTTCTTCATTGAGATACCACAATTCTTTGTAGATCTTTTTTACAGAACTTAGGTTTGAGACGTCCTTAGCTATGTAGCTGCAAGGGAGCCAGAAAAACAGGAGTCTGTTCAAGGAAAATGAACTACTGCTTTGAAGCTATGTTACTGTTGTTACTAATGAATATTCTCTCTGCCCTATGTATCTTTCACAAACTTGATTGGGTGTGAAGAGTACTGTATACCAAAATGCCTACCCATGACACCTTATCCAATGTGTGGGAAGTTTGTGGGAGTAAAAACTCGTGAATGTGGGTATTTTAAAAAATCTGTCCATGTGATTGTGAGATATGAGGAACTATTCGGAAATCACTTCTGAAGGCATAACACCACTGTTTGAAACACAAAACACTGTACTGATTTAGATGTTTAAGTATGTTGACCCTTACTTTCCAGTATTTTGATTTGCACTTGAGAGTTAGTTGGATTCATTTGCTTTCCTTCTCTTTCTCTGTACCTACTGGTTACATTGCTTTTTAGACCTTCAAAATGTTCTTCTTGGAAGAACTATTCTGGATGCACTCGGTCCTTCTTAGACCTTTTGCACCTGTATGTGAAGGCTGTCATGTACTCAAAGTGACCTGCCTCTCTGCACATGGAACCAGGGCCTCTGCTGTAGCTGTATACCCATTAACAATGCATGTCCCATTGGTAAAGCCAAAGAGACAAACCAGAAATGTCAGTCACTGGGGTCAAAATAGAAGCTTCCCTTCATCTGACACTTTTTCATTATGAATGCTGAAGCTTGTTTGCCATCTCGTCAGAGAACAGGGCCATGTTTCCAAGGACAGTTCTGTAATCTGTGGTCATACTTAAACTTCTACTGAGTCTGACAAGTATTTTTGAAAACTACCATAATGACGTCCATGCTGTCAACAGAGCTTGCTGGTGACAGTACTATCAGCCCTTTCATTCCCTATGCCCTTTCATCCTCTCTAATTATGCAGCATTCAACCAGCCACTGGTTTTATTCCTGCATATTTCTGTTGCTCAAGCAATATAGTTTCAGTAGAGGAGGGATTCTGTGCACCTCAGAGCTGAATGATTTGCTTTCTTAAATATATAAAGAAAAATTCAAACCCTCATTTTGTAGAGGCAGTTGCTGAGGATATGAGGTTTTGAGTGATGTGCCCAACCATTAGTTTTTGCCTGCCTCCAATTATCAGAAAAATGCTTCGATTTTTTTTCCCTTCATAGGCAAAGCCCAGAGCAACTTCTTTAGGTTTCATGGAGCCTGCCATGCTCTGTCTCAAATACCAGCTAGCCCCGAGTGTCACAAGTCATGTATGTTGTAGGTAACATGTGGATTTGGTCTGGCCATTGCATTCCTTCTCTGCCCAGACATCTCCCTGCATACTTGTCCTTTGGGTGTGCTGGCTGCATGGGAATCAGATATCTTTGATTGCTGCCATCAGAGACCCCCTGGCCCACCTGGTCTAGCTTTCTTTTTCTTTCATAGGCACTGAGCCCATCATCTTTCAATCCATCTTACAGATTGCAGGCTGAAAGTCACCCCTTCATCCTCTAGTTGTCAGGAATGAATCCCCTTTCATAACTCTGATATTACCTTACCTGTAGGTATAGGTTGCAGAGATTGAAGATGTGCTAAGCCATGTGTTTTGGATGAAAGTTAGAGGTAGTAGGTTTCCTTAGGGTTTGGAGAAATAGCTCAGCGGTTAAGAGCAGTACCTGCTCCTCCTAAGATCCTGAGTTCAATTTCCAGCAACCAAGTGGTGGCTTACCACCATCTATAGTGAGATGTGGTGCCCTCTTCTGGACTGCCAGCATAGACGCAGGCATGACTCTCTCTATACATATCTTTAAAAAAGGTTCCGTAGGGGGGAAAACCTTAATGTTTATAAATTATATAAACATTTCTTACTTTTATTCTTTTAAGGTCCTATCCTTGAAGATGAACTAATATCTATATGAACCAAAAATTACATCATACTTTCCAATCTTAGTATTAATGCGGTGCTCAGGAAGTGCCACCTATGATGTTAGGTGTTGATAGGTATATTAGATGCTAATCCTGAGAGCTTAAGTATCACCAAAGCAGCAGTTAGAATTATGGAAAATTGTGCAGAGGAGATTACAGCCCCAAGGATTGGGTGTTATGTTACCAGCACATGAAGGGAAGGCTCACATCCAGAGCCGTGGTGATGCTAGTCCTGACAAGAGCGGGTAGAAGCTGACTCTCAGATGCCATTGGTGCCTCCTATTTCACACACTTAAACAGAAAGCAGAAGGAAAAGACACTGGGTTTGTTAGCTCTGGGAAGGTTATAGAACAAGTTGAGGCTGGGTTGCGAGTGAGTACAGGAACACCATCCTATCCTCCAGCCAGACATAGAGCCAAAGAAAAGTCTCAAGCCATCAGAAGGTCTCACAAATACAGACAAAGGTTTCGACTGAGGGCCTGTGGCCATGGAACTAGTGTTCAGGTCCAAGCTTTTGTTGCTGCTTCCTCTCAGCCACTGAGGTGTGTTTACTCCCCCACACTGAGAAATTTCAAACCTGGACTTTAGAGCAGTTATCATGCTTCCTGTCCCCTCCTTTCACTATTTTACCTCAGCTCTGAATCCTGTGTTCCCTTTGGTGCTAAAGTAATGTAAATGTTGCAGAACCCTTCCAAGAGTGTATCTTATGATGTTGATTTTCTCCTTTCTTAGGTAGCTACTCCCTGCTGCTCTGGCTCTAGAAGACGAATTTATTCATGATGGGAGGTGTATTGGGTGAAATTGAAGAGATTAGAAAATTATGTAAAATATTTTGATTATGTCTTTGATATGTCAGAGGTCACATATTTAAAAATTTGTAATTCAAAAGAGCCCAATTCTAGTGTTTTGTGCCTCCTCCCCCCCTTCTGGGATCCTTGTCTCCACATGCAAGTGCTTTCTCATTCATCCTTTTCATTATTAAAATGGTGGCTATCACACACACTGTCATCTTTCATTCTGAATCTTTTGGGTAAGTTATTATCTAGAGATAAGTGATGATAACTTCATTTTACAGGTGTAGAAATTAAGAAATGCATAAATTATCTTGCTGATGTAGCTGAAATGACCTGTCCACACACATCCACATCATTCTCCACTTCTTTACACACACACACACACACACACACACACACACACACACACACACACACACACCTTTCTTCTTAAGATTTAATTTTCTAGCCAGTCCTGTAGCTGCTTCAGAGGAAGGTGCAAGCTTCAGTTCTGGAGCAGGGGAGTAGCATTTAGGGAGCCATGACCCTCAGAACCTGGGGCAGTGGCACAAGGAGGCCCCAGCTCAGCCCTAGGAGTGAGGCGTGATCACCAGGTGAAGCAACAGCAGCGCTTTCCAGCAGTAGCTTCCAGAAACTATTGCAAAATGTTCCTCTGGGAAAAAGCACCTGTGTCCAAGCCAGCATCCACTGCCATTTCTTGGTGGGAGATACCCTGCTACTACATTGAGCCAGCTCCATCTACACCTCCA